TTCTATTATCTTTTATATACTCGGATTTTCCATCTTATTTCTACTTGCATTTTATTCTATTCTATTTTAGTTTATTTTATTTTATTTTATTTTATTTTAGTTCATTCAAATTTATTTTAATTTTAAAGTAAATTTTTTCTCCTTTAATTTTGTTATTTTCCACATTTATTATTTTTTCTTACTTTTTTATCCAATTTTTATTTAATTTACTTTATTTCATCTTTTTTATTCTACATATTATAATTTATCATACTTTACTGTTAAAACTTTTTTTATTTTTATTTAATTTAACTATAATTTTATCCAATTTAATTTTAAAATTTTGTATTTTTCAATTTTTATATTTTTTGGTTGGTTGGTTGATTGGTTTAAGTGAATAGTCACCCTGGTGACAAGCAATTAGCAAGTTTGCCGTTTTGATTCCACAACTCGTGCAATTTATATTCTAAATTGTGCAGGAATGGTTTGCCGAGTGTGTTTAGCCTTATCCTTCGACTGGGTCTTTAGAGCCCAGGTCAAGTGCGAGTGCTAGTGCAAGTGCGGCAGAACCTATTGAAGGGCAGTCCTATCCTTTCGACATGCACCCCAAAGGGCCAGTGCCCTGTGCACACTGCAGTAAATTCGTAATATAGGCCAGCTCCTACATTCATCCACTCGTTGAGATTTAACAGAGGTAGAAGAAAGTGCCTGAATAGCCGCTTGGCTATACGGGAGGATGATCACCTGCGTTCTCGCGGGTACATTCCCTTTGATGTACATTGCTGCCTCGTTAATGAAAACGCCGTGCACCAACTCCGCATTCCATCTTTGAACTATCCGTAAGACACTTAAGCCATGCAAGATCCCGAAATTTTCCTGATTCCAGTCAATGCGGCTCGGAATTTCGTGCGGGGTTTATGGTGAACCAAGGTCTTCGACAGGATATAGTCAGTGGGCTTATATTTCTTACAGCTTTGAATTTTTATTTTGAAATTTTTGGTTAAATTTCTTATTCCTTTCTTTGTTTGTTTAATTTTTTCTTCATATATTGTTTAATTTGTTTTATTTTACTTTATTTTAAATATTTCATTTTATTTTTTAATCTTGACATTTTTTATATATAGATTTTATAGTTTTTTGTTTTATTTAAATTTATGATTGTAAGTTCATCCATTATTTATTCTTCGTTATTCATACTTTTTATTTTAATTTTATTTACTATTTTTTATTCTAATGTGTATTATTTTTATTTTTTCTTTTTTTGATACATTTTTCTTCCTTTGATGTTTTAATTTGATTTTTTGTATCTATTTTAAACAGTTGGTTTCTTTTTCTAAGTTCGAAACTTTTAATTTGATTTTTTGGTTAGGTTTAACCTTTTATATTTGACTTAAATTTTTGTTTTTCATCTCGTCTATGTACTAACTTTCACCCCATACTTTGTTCAGCGCTACCTATCCAATGATGAATTCTACCAAGAAGGTGCTCCGTTTTTCATATATGTTGGCGGCGAATGGGAAATTTCAACCGGCTATGTGACCGGTGGACATATGTACGATCTGGCCAAGGAGCATAATGGCCACCTTTTCTACACCGAACATCGTTACTACGGTCAAAGCCGCCCGACAAGGTGAGGAAAACTTTACATATTTAATTTTTAAACATTTGCAAATAATTTTTCGCTCATTTTATTCCACAAAAATGTTCAGCAACATGGACAATGAAAATATTAAATATTTGCATGTGCGTCAAGCTTTAGCGGATTTGGCCCACTTTATTGAGGAAATGCGTGCCACAATACCAGGTGCCACTGAATCGAAAGTTATACTCGTTGGTGGTTCCTACTCAGCTACAATGGTGACATGGTTCAAGAAGCTGTATCCTGAATTGGCCACTGGTGTTTGGGCGTCGAGTGCGCCACTCCTTGCAAAGGTCAATTTTGTGGGTGAGTATTTATGCCGGGATATACTTTAACCTGCAAATACCCACAAAAAATCTTTAAATGCAAAAAATCAATTGTGTCTGCATGCGCCATTTCCTAACCCCCATTTTTCATTTAACCGCAGAGTACAAAGAAATAACCGGTCAATCAATTCGCCTGGTTGGCGGCGAAGCTTGCTACAACCGTATTGAAAATGGCATCGCCGAAATGGAAACTTTATTCGCAAATAAACGTGGCGCCGAAGTNCAGTAATTCAAGGACGAAATAAAGTTATTTTTTGCCAATATGAAATGATTTTCACAAATTTTTCTCAGCACTGGTCAAATTGAAGGCGTCTGCAGCAAAATCATGGAAGGCGAAAATGATATCGCTGGTGTGGCGAGCTATTTATTAACTCAATTCGGCAGCAGTTCTTGCAATCAGCTGAGCTATAAATCAATTATAGCCAGTTTGCTAGACTCCAGCTACTCTAGGAGTATAAGTAAGCGAGTTTACATAAATAGAAGGGAAGCGGAAAATGTTTGTTCATACTCATTTCAAATTCTCGTATTTTTCAGTGCGACAATGGATATACCAAACCTGTAATGAGTACGGTTGGTATCAGACTTCCGGCTCCAGAAATCAGCCATTTGGCACTAAATTCCCTGTGACGCTTTATACACAAATGTGTCAGGACATCTATGGCGAGCAGTTTACCAACGAGTTCATAAACAGCCAGGTAGCTGCCACCAATGAATTATTCGGTGGCCTTGAACCAAATGTGGAGAATGTCTACTTTACACATGGTCAATTGGATCCGTGGCGTGCGATGGGCATACAGGATGAAGAGCAGGCGACGATTCTACCGCGTAAGTGTTAAAAATAGTATAAAATAATGACAAATTAGAATTTTGGAAAACTATTGTTAATGAATTTTTGACCTTTTTTCTCAGTTTATGCCCACTGCAAGGACTTTGCCTCGATAAGCGACAGAGATACCGACGAATTGCGCACTTCGAAGCTTCAAGTCGCCAAGTTGGTACGCAAATGGCTCAGCGCTGAAGATGTGACCGAAAGCGTTACCAATAGCATAGCAATAGTTTAAAGCATTACGTAACTAATTGAAACGGGTACTTAGGGTTTAATTTATGACTTGACGATAAAGCTGAGCGAATGTGCAGTAAATAAAAGCAAAATCTACGCAAAACTAGTAAATTTGTGTTTTTTTTTAATTAGTACAAAAACATTCTGTTGATAAAAAATCTACATACATATATAACTAGTGTAGAGCATGCCGTTTTTTTTTTTTTGAAGCGAGATCTATAATTACAGATTGTGATCTTAAGATTACAGGGAAATTGTAGACTGAATATTTTTTTGCTGGCCGGAATTGCTAGCAGGACATAAAAGCTCATGCCTCAGTTTTTCGGATCGTTCAAAGGATGTTCTCAAAAAACCTTCCAGTCTGAACGGGAATCCGAGGTCTGCCCATCACGTCAGGTTCGAAGTCATTTGAAAGTCAAGTAGGGAAAAATTCATAGAATAAACCTGAAAATTCATATATTTGGGGTTTTCGACTTTCAGAACCCGAATCCAAGGTCCGTTAACCTCCATAATGTCATTTTCGAGGTCATTTGAGGGTCAAACACAAAAAAAAACGATTCAATAAAAATAAAAATTCATATACATACATAAGATTTTGTTGGCGCTGAATCCGAATATGGGGGTCCCTTGATTCTTCAAGGTCACCTAGAGGTCATGCCAAGGTCATATCTGGATCAAATTTGGAAGAATTGTATTGAATTTTCAGGTTTATTCAATGAATTTTTCCCCAATTGACCTTCAAATGACCTGGAGCCTGAAGTAATGGAGGCTAACAGACCTCGGATTCGCCTTCATCGCGCCGATTAACATAGGGATATGTGTATGTAGGGGCTTGGTTCAATATGCAGAAAGTTTTTTTTTTGTATAAACCTATTTTATTGATTGAAATTGAATAAGTTTTTCTCTCCCTCAGCCATTACTTGTTTAACTATTTCGCTGCATTGGCATAATGAAGGAACGACCACTCGAGTCACTAGGTAGCACAATTAACAACTAACAACCGATCTTATCGCACAAGAGTAATAAAATTGCTTATTATAAGTCTTGATATGGCCAAGCACCATAAGATAAGCGCCAAATTTAAATAATTTTATGTGGTGAATTCCAAATAGAGAGTAGAGGAAGTGTATGTATGATGTTAATGAAAATTTTCTGCAATTGACTGAAGTGAAAAGAGCTTTGAGGCAAAAAGCCTTGTCGAGTTTTTCATACTCAATATTCCCGTTATGTTAGGTTAAACGGGCAGCTCTGAATAAGAGTTCACTCGGAGGCCGCAGAGGCCCATTGTGATGCCCATGGGGGTTACCCCAAGCCTATCCCTACATGTCTTCGAACCATTTTGATTTTCTGGCGAATCCTAGCAGTCCTTCCAGAGGAGCTTTCCCCAAGATATCCAGATTCTCGAAGAAGTGGTCCCCAAGAAACTTGAGGCGTTTTCCTCGAAGTGCTGGACACTCGCAAAGGAAGTGCTGGACGGATTCTAGCTCCTCCTCATCCCTGTAGCTTCTACAGAAATCATTATGCGGGGCTCCGAACCTGGCGGCCCGTTAAAAATTTAAATCTTCATTCCAACTTTTTGTGAAAGTCGCCAAAATAGGCTTAGTACTAGAAAACCTATGGAAAAAATAAAGTAAAGTAAAATAAAGTACTGAGGGCTCGATCGACTCTGAAATGCAATAACAAATACTGCATGGAGAGTATTTAAGTTCAAAGTAACACATTTAGTTCGCTTGTTTGAGACTACAAAATGAAAATATGGTAAAGCGCTACACGCGTGCTTGAGAATGGTAAATAAGTTAAAAGAGCAACATGCGTAGGCAGTGATTGATAAGCTCTAATATGGGCCATAAATCTGAGAACTGTACTACATAACCCGTTAACTGTTTTAGTTTTATGTTATGTATGTAGTTTAAGTGGACGAATAGGCATTTTAATTTTGATTTGCTTAGTTGTTAAGTGACTGCGGTGTGTGAAAGGCGATCGAAAAAAAAAAACAATGAAGTGGACAATGGGTGTCGTCGTGGTATTGGCTGCGTTTGACTTGCTCAGCAAAACCCGAGCGGAGAACGAACAGGCGGCAGATAATGCAAATATTTTCCAACGCACCTTTAGAAGGCTCCATCAGGAGCCGCAACTACCAGAACCTGCATCACAAAATCGCGTCAGCGCACAGTATTTATGGATTGAACAAAAATTGGATCATTTTAATGAGACAGACACGCGCACATGGCAAATGGTGGGACGAGTGCAGTGGTGTTATTTTTAGTGTTGGGAAGTATCGAGTAATTTTGAGGATCGAGTTCTTTGTTACCTTTGCTTTTGAGGTTCAGGTATTTTTGAGAGTACTGAGCACTTACTTTGAATATCGAAAATACTTTTTTGAAGCCTAAGCGCAATGAGTGCAATCATTTCTGAATACCTTTAAATGTTAATGGACTCAGTACTTTTAAGTATACATATATTAGACACTTAATAGTGAATCGATGCTGAGTTATTGTATCAAAATGTTGATTGCAACAGAGTATTTTTGAGTAGTGAGTACTTTTGAGTTATTTTAAGTTCTCCGTACTTCGAGTTCTTTTGTGAGTGAGTACTGAGTACTATGGAGTACTCAGTATCGATACTTTTAAAAATCGTGTACTGTCGATCGTTTTCAGAATCGAGTTCTGAGTACTTCTGATATCGATACTGCCCAACACGTTTATTTTAGTTTGTATTTTTTAATTTTTTATCTTATTATTTATAATTTCCATACTAAATTTATCTCGCTTTTTATAAAAATATAGTTCATTCTACAGCAAAACCCACAAGAATCAATATTTTTAATTTCATAATGCGAATGCAAATATTCGCAACAACCCTGATACGAACTCAATCAACAATTCGTGTTTGCGAGAAAAAAATTGCATTATCCATAATAAAGATGCGTTAATATTTTAGTAGTTAGTACCTACCTCAATATCCGCAAAACAAAATGAAAATAAAAAACTTCGAAAAAATAATGTTGATAAACAAAGATATCAGAAGGTACCTCAGAATTTTATAGAAAGAATATTTTGGAAGCAAACTTAATAGAAATTAACTTTTGGAATCTAATAAATTAAATAAATATCTTAACATAAGAAAATTCTTGTTAAAATTAACAAGATACAAATTGTTATTAAAAAATGTGGCAACCCTAAACAAAACTATTCCTGGATTAAATCTCTCTAAAATATCTTTCAGCTGATGTGCATATTAAGTTATTTCAATTAAATTTTTTGGATTTAAAAAAAAGTGGTGACCTTACACTATAATTCCAACGACATACCGACACCCGAGTGTGATCGAAAACGCCCTATCTCAGAAAACTTTTCAAGAACGCCTTATTTCATAATTTTATTGTTAAACACCAAAATTTGGTTAAACGCCCTATTTAATTTTAATTTTTTTTCTGTTTAGTTTTAAATTAATAAAATTTGTATTAATTTTTATTTTCATCTAATCGCGTAAATGCCACGCAAAAGCGTTAAATTCGTAAATAACCCGGATTTTTATACAAAGTTAATCAAGTATAAGAGGTTAACGTGGTTACGTTTAGATAAATTGCCCTATTATATTTATTTTATGGCATTTTAGTTTGTTGATTTTTTTTTTTTTTTTAATTTTGCTTTTCGTAGTTCATACCTTTTTATTTTGATTTTATTTTCCTTTCATCTTTTTTGATTTTATTCCTTTTTTTATTCTATTTTTTTCGTTCGTTTTTAATTTTATTTTCGGTATTTATTTTTTAATTTTTTTCCAAGCTTTAATTTTTTAATTTGATTTGTAATCTTAATTTATTCGAATTTATTTAATATTTCAGCGCTACGTATCTAATGATGAATTCTACCAAGAAGGTGCTCCGCTTTTCATATTTGTTGGCGGTGAAACGGAGAGTACACCCGCCCTTGTGACCGCTGGACATTTGTACGATCTAGCCAAGGAGCATAATGGTCACCTTTTCCGCACCGAACATCGTTACTACGGTCAAAGTCGCCCGACAAAGTGAGGAAAGCTTAACTAAATAAACAATTTTATTTCCTTAATATTTGAAAATTTTTTCCCCTTTTCGTTTTATGCCACAAAAATGTTCAGCAACTTGGACAACGAAAATATCAAATATTTACATGTGCGTCAAGCTATAGCGGATTTGGCCCACTTTATTGGGGAGATGCGTGCCACAATAGCAGGCGCCACTGAATCGAAGGTTATACTCGCTGGTGGTTCCTATTCAGCCACACTCGCGACATGGTTCAAGAAACTGTATCCTGAATTGGTAACTGGTGTTTGGTCATCGAGTGCGCCACTCCTTGCAAAGGTCAATTTTGTGGGTGAGTATATATGCCGGGATATACTTTAACCTGCAAATACCCACAAAAAATCTTTAAATGCAAAAAATCAATTGTGTCTGCATGCGGCATTTCCTAAACCCCATTTTTCGNACGGTTGGTATCAGACTTCCGGCTCCAGAAATCAGCCATTTGGCACTAAATTCCCTGTGACGCTTTATACACAAATGTGTCAGGACATCTATGGCGAGCAGTTTACCAACGAGTTCATAAACAGCCAGGTAGCTGCCACCAATGAATTATTCGGTGGCCTTGAACCAAATGTGGAGAATGTCTACTTTACACATGGTCAATTGGATCCGTGGCGTGCGATGGGCATACAGGATGAAGAGCAGGCGACGATTCTACCGCGTAAATGCTGATAATTAGTATATTTAGTATATAAGACATACAAATTACAATTTTTGAAAACCATTGTTAATGAATTTTTGGCCTTGTTTCTTAGTCTATGCCCACTGCAAGGACTTTGGCTCGATA